TGACTCATATTTTACCATGCAGTGACACATATTGTGTGACTCATATTTTACCATGCAGTGACGTATATATGACCATGCAGTCACACATACTGTGTGACTCATTAGACTCAATCAGTCACACAATATGATCATACAGTGAAAATTAAATGTGACTTATATGACAATGCAGTTTAATAGATATTGTGTGACTCACATGACCAGGCAGTCACACACATATTGCATATATATTGTTGGACTCAAATGGGCTATAGTCACAGATATTGTGAGTCATGAATGAATCATACGTATTCCTTCATGCCTGAAGAAATTGTTTAATAAAATCACATAGAAATGTAGTTTACAGAAGATGGCAAGTCAAACTCCATGAATGTCAATTTGTAAAATGTTACTTTCATTGATAACTTATTAACATGCAGGTACTTACTTTCAGCAAATACGGCATTTTAGGTGGAGCTCCTTTCAGATCAAGATGAACTAACCTGTGCCCTTTAAATCTGACAAAAGGGTTTAACAAAAAATAAACATGTCAAGCAAATCATACAAAGATGAGAGAAGAATTCTTCATTTACAACRTAAGTCACAACAGCAATCTTGGTTGAACTTCAACAAACAACAAAGGATATCTAGCTCATTAGTTCTATTTGTTTATTCAACCAACATGGGTGTTGGACTTGTGCCTTTTAAATCTCATGAAAATGAGCAATTAAYAACACAAAATAATGTTGCAAGACATTAACTGTCTCTTATAGAACAGATTTCGTATGAGTGGGACACCTTTACCGCACGGTTACCACACAGTTACCGCACATGGCCTGCACAATTTTGGTGATGAACCAATGGGGCACTAGAATTTGGTTACAGTACGATTACGGTTACAGTACAGTACCGTCCGTTTCACACTCATACGAAATCCGCTGTAATACCCTATAGTTATAGTTAGATGACTTTGTCACCTAGAAAATCACCCCAAAAACAATTAATGGCAAAGTTGTCACTTTCTATAAAGCACAAAACCCCAAACACAGCACTTTCAAGAAGCGCCATAATYTATGACACTTTTAAAATAGAAAGTCTTTGCTTATTTAAATGTATTATAATTATAACCTTGAAGGACTTTTTGACACATCATGACGTGTACTGAATAGTGTACCTTTTAATATATCTGGAACCAAACATGATTTAATTTACTGCACACAATACTCCATTTTACAGTTCTTGTCGCCCRTCATGGAAGGTGTAGTGGGGAGCCTTCGCATTAAGCGAAACAGCAGTTGAGCTGGCATTGATACATACCTACAGTGTATGACTGTGTTGTCTTGGATATATATTTTAACAAAAGGTATCTATCACTGCATGCTCAATTCCTGTCTCAATTTGATGCAAATTCAGGCCTGCCTATACCTAAATCTTGGCACTTGAAACTGTAAAATGACGTATTATCAATGACAATATAAACTTACTTTTTAATTTGACTTCTTGTAATTTGTCTTTTTGTAGCTTTCTTCCTCTCTTTCGATAATAAGATTTTTAATTCTATAATCTTTTTTTCAGCTTTTATCAACTTTAAAGTAAGGGCTTTTTCACGTGATTCTTTAAGTTCTGATGAAGCTATAAAAATAGAATACAAATTGTGATATCAATA